AAAAGAATTTTTTATTTTTTGTTATATTAATATTTTTTTATCATATTATTTTTTTTCTATGTCATCACTTTTTGTTCTGTTATCTTGCCACGTGTATTAAAAATTTGACATGTCATCATATAGCCGTTAGTTAATAAGACACGTCATTACATTTTTAACGGAAGGACTAAATTGGGGTCAAAATGGTAAACAGTAGGGATCAAATCAGGGATTTATTGAGTTGAGGGACTAAATCGGGGGTCCGTACCATAGTTGAGGGACCAAAATAGGGATTTAACCTAAATTTTTTATTTGATTATTAAAAAAATTAAAAAGGAAGAGAGGAGAAGAAAATCCTTTTACTTTATATCTCTCGTTATGTAAAATGTTCTTCTCGGGGTAGAAAAAATAATTTCTTTATTTAGTTATAAAAGAAGTTAAAGAAACAAGACGAAAAGAAAAAGTCTTTTACTTTATTTTTTGGCTTTTAATTACTTATTATGTATAATGTCTTTTCATTTTTTTTTTTCGTTTTTCTCTAATTAAACATAAATGTTAGAAGGTAATTGACTCCTATTATATAATTTTTTTTTTTTTAAGATTTGTGTAATATCAAATATTTTGAATGAAAAAATGGACAGGTAAAATGCATTGTTAAATAAGTCAAGGTTTTGCAACCTAAATAATTAATATTTTATAATCAACTATTATACAATTCAAATAGCATTAAACTACAAAATTCCAACAACTGAGTAAAGGGCTTTGCCCCAATATCTGACGCCTCCTCTTAATTTAATGATTGGTGGCTTGCAGAATAGTTTAGACTAAAATTAAAGATTAATTATATTTAGAGTATTTAAATAAACAGGTTATTGTTTTGAAGCAATTGTACTAAATATTTACAAGTTCAGCTGCTACTCAGCAAGAACTATGAAAATTGGCACAACTTGAAACTAATAGTGAGAAGGAAAAACTTAGCGGACTGTAAGATCAAGACCATTGAAGGAGGTGGGCTCCTGATATTGACCCACCTCCCCCTCTTTTTTTATGGCCCTGTGGCGGACTGTCAGACAGCAACCTCTACTGAGAAATAGAATAAAATGGACAAAACACTGAAGTGAACCACCAAAACTTGTATGCTAATCTGCAAGGCTTTATTAACGCTCAACAGAAAATTAACAGAAAAAGGAGAGACACTTTTCTGTTTGATCTTAGTGTTTTAGATCAACACTGATGCAAAATCGATCTTAGGTGTTTTAGACCACATTATTCTGACATTAAAACAAAAACACTTCAAAACTTCAGGTGATTCTGGACAAAAAACCTCAACAGAGAGATATATGCTTCTTCATTTCTCCCTTTCTCCAACACCCACACAATTATCTGGTAGTGGTTGCAAGGCCGATCTAGTCTTCTCCACAGGCTGCATTTTAACAATAACGATTCAAAGTTACAATCACGAACAAACGAAACTACTACTGAAAATGAAAAGGGGAGGTGTGAAATCGGTTCTTACCTTAACTTCGTTGCTCTTCTTATTTTTTGAAATTGTAAGCTCTTTAAGCTTCTTCTTTATTTGCCTCATACTCATATCCTCAAAACTTTCCTCGACTGCTTTCCGCATAACATCCTTATCCTTGTCTTTGTTCATTGAAACCAGTGTAGGCTCCAATTTCCAAGCACTATTGTTAATATTCTCACTGTTGATGTCTGAAACTTGGGGCGCTATTGGAACTGCTGCCTGTTTCTTGCTTGAAGATTTCCTTGCTGTAAACTGACTTGGTCTGGGAAACTGGAATGCCATTGTGTTATTAACCTCACCAGTAGACACCAGAGAAGGACAAGGAGTCATTTGCTTCGCACCAGCCGGAGTTTTATCCAGCAATTGAGAGGATTCATCAATTGCCACTACATTGTCCTGTCCATTACCAAACCCTTCCATATTGGACAATGAGGCATCGTCCCCAACAAATTCAGGAGTGTTGTGCAATAAAGTGTCTTCTTCATGATGGTTCATGCCAGATTCTTTTGCTTCGAATTTGACAAGTTCTTCAGTATCCTCCCGCCCCTTTAAGAGATAAGCTGAAGCAGCCTCACCAACTTCAGTGCTTTCTTGTACAGCTGCTACCTGTTCTTCCAATTTACCAGTAGCATCAAAACCCAAGCTAATGGCACTATCTGTTTCAGAAACATTAGACCCATCAAGATCCTGATCTAAATAATCATCAGAGTTTTCAGAGTCAGAAGAAAACTCTG